TGAGGAAGGAGAGGGGTGGCCCTGAGTGTAGGCCTGAGAATCTGGAAGAGTGTGTGGGCTGTGGGCAGCGAGGTTGAAGAGGTTCTGTAGGTCATGCTTAGGACGTTTTACTTTCATGGGGTAAGTTTTTGGAGAAAATGGAGCAAGAAGTAACAAGGCTGTTTTTTAGTAGTAAGTTTTGAAAGATGTGTTTGGAATCGGATGACGGGAAGGATGAATGTTTGAAGTAGAGCCCTGGTAGATAAAGTTTGGTCACATTTGGGGAGAGAGAGTTTGTATGATGACAATAAACTGCATTTTCAAACCTTACCCTCTGGTTTTTATTATCTAGCTCTTTAAGGCCCGATTCGAAAGTTTAAAAATAAAGCAATCTCTTTGAAAATGATGGAAATTCTGTGGCAGAACTTGAGAAATTTAGGGGTGTCTCAAGTACTTACTGATGTTAATAAACCTGATGGTGTGTTGATAACTTAGCCTTTGTTTTTGGCCTAAGCAATATCTACCTCATCAAATTCTAGACTTTTCTGTAAATGAACCTTTAATGCTTTTGTTGGTGCTTGAGAAGAGTGCTTTTGATGATATTTCTCAATATAAATACTTTTTATTTTTTTCAGGCGTGTGCTCGTCCACTGATATCAGTGTACTCCGAAAAGGGGGAGTCCTCTGGCAAAAATGTCACTTTGCCTGCTGTGTTCAAGGCTCCCATTCGACCGGATATTGTTAACTTTGTTCACACCAACTTGCGCAAAAACAACAGACAGCCCTATGCTGTCAGTGAATTAGCAGGTATGGATTTAGCTGTTTCCTAGGTTGACATTTTAAGGGGTACTTCACAGCAGTGATGAAATTCCACTCCGTTGGTCCGTGTTTCTGAACAACATGATTTTCCTGGATATTCTGATGCTGTTTGCTGCCGTACACAGTAGTCATAGAATGGTGTGGTAGGGAGCTAAAGCTTGTGTTTCTGAACAATTTCAGGTCATCAAACCAGTGCTGAGTCTTGGGGTACCGGCAGAGCTGTGGCTCGAATTCCCAGGGTTCGAGGTGGCGGCACTCACCGTTCTGGTCAGGGTGCTTTTGGAAATGTATCCTTTGTCTTCCCCCACCTAGACTGGTCAGCTGCCGCATCTGGCAGACTGAACCTGGCTTATTCATTTTAGTGATTGGAAAATATTTGTGCTCAAGACACTAATGTCCAGATTAAACGCTTTTCAAACAGATTTGATATTTGGAAGATGTTTTTCTGTCATTTTTAAAGTCGACAGGCTTGGCGTTAAAAGGTTTTGCCTGCAATGATGTCGTAATTTGCGTCTTACTCTGTTCTCAGCGACAGTTGCCTGCTGTCAGTAGGCTGGTTCAGAAGGGTGACGAAAGTTGTTACTGAGCAAGGCATAACCTGTTCGTAATTGCTAAAATTTGAGAAATGTGATTCTTAACTGAGAAAACAGATGTGTCGTGGGGGCCGCATGTTTGCACCAACCAAGACCTGGCGACGTTGGCACCGCAGAGTGAATACCACGCAGAAGCGGTATGCCATCTGCTCTGCACTGGCTGCCTCAGCCTTACCAGCCCTGGTCATGTCTAAAGGTTTGTGATACTTTATTTCCTAGGAATCCTGTAAACCTGATAGCCTGTGTAAATTCTCTTCACCCTAGAGTGTCTAACTACATACACTTCCCCTCTACTAAATGCTAGTTATAACCACTTCAGTCTAACAACTCAGTGAATATTATGTAATGAGGTAATTTTTACATCATTTGTCAAAATGATGAGATTCCACTTCATTGGTCCGTGTTTCTGAAGCACATGATCTTTGTGGTAATTCTGATTTGGCAAATGTGCCACTTTGATTTTGTGGGTTTGATTAAATTTTTCAAAGGGTGCAGGGTAACCAGGTCAATGTTAATTGGCTTTGTCAGGTCATCGTATAGAGGAAGTTCCTGAACTTCCTTTGGTGGTTGAAGATAAAGTTGAGGGCTACAAGAAGACCAAGGAGGCTGTTTTGCTTCTGAAGAAACTTAAGGCCTGGAATGATATCAAAAAGGTAGGTTTTGTGGTTCTTGACACAAGTTGTGAGATTTTACATTTCAAAAGGTTACTGAAAGACAGTACAAGTAAACCTTAGTTGATATGAGAGCAGTATTACCTGAGTTTGAAAGCTCGTTGCTATGTTAAATTTAGGCAGGTCATTTGTGCCTCCCAATTTCCTCATCTGTAAAACTGAAGTTTTTTAAACTATGAAGATTTAATATAGGGATCAAATCAGAATACCAAACTTTACTTTCTTAGGTTTACGCCTCTCAGCGAATGAGAGCTGGCAAAGGCAAAATGAGAAACCGTCGCCGTATCCAGCGCAGGGGACCCTGCATCATCTATAATGAAGACAATGGTATCATCAAGGCCTTCAGAAACATCCCTGGTAATAATTGTACTGCTTACATGTTTTAATTACCTGTATTATGCAAGCTTACCCAGCTTTTATTATGATGAGATTCCACTTTATGGTCCGTGTTTCTGAAACACATGATTTTGTGGAACTTCTGATTCTTGGCTGAATAAGTGTACCATTGATGTTTAAATTTATGATTAAAATACTTCTTAGGTGCTATAAAGATGATCTGCATTTCACCTATTGAAATACAGGATCCCTAATTCTCCTTTTCCAAACAAAGGAATTACTCTGCTTAATGTAAGCAAGCTGAACATTTTGAAACTTGCTCCTGGTGGTCATGTGGGACGTTTCTGCATTTGGACTGAAAGTGCTTTCCGAAAGTTAGATGAGCTGTACGGCACTTGGCGTAAAGCAGCCTCCCTCAAGAGTAACTACAAGTGAGTATAATTTGTATGCTGGACATAGATGTTTATGCTGTTGTTCACAGTCACTTAAGTAGTGCCTTACTCTTGGCACTTGAGACAGCAAGGACTTCCACATATATGCTGTGGAATTTTCACAATGGATTTGCATGTTTTCTAAGTAATGCATTGTGTTGCCATTTCCTCCTTGTATACAGATACAATATGTGGAAATAGATTCTGGGAAGGGATAGTATAGTGGAAATTGATTGGATTCTGTAGAGCTTAAATTATTAATCTTTTGTTAAGAAGTAGGAATTAAGCCTCTGTTGTTAAATGTTTTTCTTTCAGCCTCCCCATGCACAAGATGCTCAATACAGACCTTAGCAGAATCTTGAAAAGCCCAGAAATCCAAAGAGCACTCCGAGCACCACGGTAAAGTTTTGATATTCACAGTAATTCTTGTCCAGCTTCACACTACCAGGTATTTCAGAAATATGGATAATGTATAAACTATTAATAATAGAGTATCTACTTTTTTATAGCAAGAAGATTCATCGCAGAGTCCTGAAGAAGAATCCACTGAAAAACCTGAGAATCATGTTGAAGCTCAACCCATACGCAAAGACCATGCGCCGGAACACCATTCTTCGACAGGCCAAGAATGTAAGCAATAATTTGGGTTTTGCTGGATCTGTTGAGTTTTAGAAAGATTTGATTCTTAGATTTTCTTCCTGATTTGTTGCAGCACAAAATCCGCATGGATAAGGCAGCAGCAGCACTAGAAGCCAAATCAGATCAGAAGGGGGTTGAGGGCAAGAAGCCTGTGGTGGGAAACAAAGAAAAGAAGGCTGTTGGCGATAAGAAGCTGAAGAAGCCTGTGGTGGGAAAAAAGGCTTCAGGAACCAAGAAACCAGCAGCTGAGAAGAAGCCCACAGAAAAGAAACCCACCTCAGAGGAAAAGAAGGCTGCTGCATAAACTTAAATTTGTTTATTCCATAAATGCCAAATCATTTTGGACAGCTAATTTTGAATAAAGACCTGAACAAAGAGGCAATGAGAACATGACTTGGATGTGTTGTGTGAGTTTTGGTTTTTTTTTTTTTTTTTTTTTTTACTGATAACTTTAAGTTGTAAAAAATGGAGCCTTGGGTTTAGTATAAATCCAAGATGAATGAGAAGCAAGATGTTCCATAAATTCAGGTGTAAGATCCATTTTTAAAGTAACTTGACAAACGGTTTAAAGACTTAGAAATACATAGAAACTCATTGTTTAGCTTCCCCCCAAAACCACCTTGAAAAATGGACCATGTTCCATAAAGATTTGACATTTTCGATAACCACAAGAGGGCAGATTCAGGGAACATTTTATAAAGGATAACAATAAATTCATTTTTCCTTCAGAAGTGTTAGTCTTCTGTGATGTAGTACAACTGATGGAAGAGATGCTTGCCAACGTTTTAATACTTGGACCCTTGGTATAAAAAGTGCCAGGTGGTTTTTTCCAGTCACTTGTGTATTTCAGGTTTAGTATGCTTATGCAGAGGATGTACCCAGAAGTTTTTCCAAAGCTTTTAACTCGGGTCACTGTCCTAACACCTCTGAAGTGACCTGTGCTTCCCTAGTCAGGGTCTTGTTTTGCATCTGTTTTGCCCCACTGGCAATCTATCCTCCCATTTATAGGTCAAGGGGTCTCCGTTCTTTAGTATAAAAAAGCATTGTCCAGCCTAAAATATAGTTACCTTCCTGCCCTCTAATTGGCACAGTCCTACTTGGAAACCCCTTTCCTGTAACCAGGAATCCTTGCCTGCCTGAGCCTTCAACTCGGTAGGGCTCTTGGACTGATGTCCTGTTTGCTGGTGACAGTCCCTTCGAGTGCGTCTGCAAGTTTGGAGGAGCTAAATTAGCCTCCACCGATGAAAGAACAGCACTGCTCAGCTGAAGTACTTGACAGACAAGTATCTAACCATTTTTATCTCCAGGTCCTTTACATCGCCAACACCCTTTGCTCTAGGGAGTTCTCATCCCCGGAGTTTGAGGTTTTCGATTTACAACCAAGTTTGGCTATCCATGAGTTTACGTTCACGAAAGGGAAACGAGCGCAGGCGCCGATAGGAAGAGGCTGCACCGCCCCAGAGTGCCGCCAGCCCCTCCCAGAGCGCTTTTCCGCTTCCGGTAGCGCGGAGGTGGCGTCATCATCAAGCGACCCGGCGGGCCGCCTGCGTGGAGAGTCGAGATGTTGACCCGGCTGCAGGAGCTGCGCAAGGAGGAGGAGACGCTGCTCCGCTTGAAAGCGGCTCTGCACGACCAGCTGAACCGGCTCAAGGTGACCCCGCGCCCCCCACTTCTCCATTCAGTTGTTCCCGCGCCCTAGGCCGCCGCGCTCTACGCGGAGCCCAGGCGTCTGCGGCGCCCGCCTGCTGCCGATTAGCTTTTCCTCACCTGGCCTTCGCGCCCAGACCTGGTGGCGTAGACAGGCACCGAGGGGGGCTGGATTTGAGACTATGGGCCCACCCTTCTAAGAATATTGATCCCATAGGTTTAGGCTGAGGCTCATTCATCTGAGTTTGGCGAGTACACTACTACCCCCACCAGACCACTACAGCCCGGTAAATGTGGGCGGTCCGCACCACGCGCTGAGGAAGGGCGACCCTCCGAAGCTCGCCTAGACGGTCCCTGCCTCACCTCCCGAGCCCCTGCAGCATTTACTAGTCTCTCTCTACTACCTGGTATGGTCGCTTGATACAGCTCTGGTCTCACAAAGGCAGCCCAGTCGCGGATGTTCCACTGTGCAAAAGGAGACAGCAAGGCCCTTCCAGAAGAGACCCTGCCACAGTACTAGGTTTGCCAAAAAGATTCTACACATAAACGGTGAACGTAGGATGTAAGATGAACGAACTTTTTGACCAAGCCAAATAGTTCCCGGTAGTTTTTCTCCCCGGATCTGTTACCGACTCAGCTGCCTTGTTGAGGAGTTAGATTGAAACCCGCTAGAGCCATGTCCCAGATCTGTGCGGAGGAATCCCCCTTTAGTGAGATGTTCCTCCTAATCCCTGCTGGGCACTTTCGGGTTATGAAGGCCCTTCGTAAACTGAGACCTATGAAAATCGTGTGCTTTCCCTCAGGACACATGCAGTGCCTGTACAGCGCCTGTGTGTGTGCCAACAGTGGCAAGGAAACGCTGTCATTTTCCATTCTTCCTGCCTTCGCTGTCTCATTACGGGGTAGACAGACTGGGTCGTGTGGAATCAGAACACACTTGGCTTTTTTAAGGGCATGCTTGTGTTTTCCTCCCCTGAGCTGCTAGGTCTGGGTGAGTGGAAGCCTCGCCTCAGCCGGAACACCTGTTCACCCTAGGAGAAAGGGGCAGGAAGCTTTCTACGCTGTTGCCTTTAGAGGCCCGGAAGGCTTGAGGAGCCCCATCCCTGCCCCCTAGAGCTTCACCGAGGTTACATTGTTTTCACATCCGATGCCTGCCTCTCAGAGCATGCTCAGTACATTTCACCCACATCGGTAGCCCGGTGACGTAGTAAAGAAAGTGTCCTCCACTCTTTCTAGGTTGAAGAGCTGGCCCTTCAGTCGATGATTAGTTCTAGAAGAGGTGAGATGCTGCCTTCTCAGCCTGTACCAGAACCATCACATGATGTAAGCTTAATCAGTGTGAGCCTGGGGAGAGAATGCAGTCCATTCTGCTCTTACGCTGCTGAGGGATCAGAAATTGTAGATTACCTTATCAAGCCCAAAGAACTCTGGGGAGTGCTAATAAGAACCTTCTGGTTTAATTAACTGACCAGTGTATATTACTCTTTTAAACAGGGAACATCTACCAGCTGGGTACACTTTGGTTGGCTGTACTATTATATTGCTTCCACCTTCCCCCTCTTCCATTCTCTCTAGTCACTCCAGTGAACTAGGGAGAGTGTGATGAATAAGTAAGCTTAGGATTTGATAATAGACCGTAGCTTCAGCCACAAAGCCTAGAAGTAGAGTTCTATTCCTCCTCATATCCTTCTCTTATGAAGGGCCCTTAGGAAAATCTAGATAAACCATATTTGAATGTTCTCCCAGCTGTGTGTTAAGCGTTTAAAATCATTTGAAAGCAGCACATCTAAGCCAGTATATAATTCTTATGTAAGAACCATGTATGTAAATCAGGTAATTTTCTATCAAATCCAGGGCATTTACTGTGCTCTCATTTTGGCCATGGGGGTTTGGGGGAGGGTGTCAGGGTAGAATTTGGAGAAATAGGAAAGTGGCCACACTTCTTAGTGATAGTATTGGGATTGAATATACAATTGAGATTTTATTATAAAACATGAAGAATTTCTTTTCAGGCTAATGTTCTTCCTACTAATCTGTAATGTTCTTGACTAAAGCAGATGCTGGTGCTTGTAGACAATGAAGCATCAATCAACCAAACGGCACTGGAGTTGAGCACAAGGAGCCATGTGCCAGAAGAGGAGGAGGAGGAGGAGGAGGAGGAGGAGGAGGAGTCGGAGTCAGACTCCTGACGGGGAGAAGAGCCGGGTTAGTCGTGCGAGTTAATTCTCAGAGACGTTCTCTCTTCAAAGAGTGCTCATGGGCCCTATAGCCTGCTTTAAAAGGAAGCACGAACTTTAGGAGGATGTGGAGTTGTAATAATAGTTCCATCAGTAACTCAGGTTTCAGAGTGCTTTAACGAAAGTTGGTGACAGAAGAGCAGAGATGCAGTGTTTCAGCATTGAGCAGTATGGGTGGTGCTGTGTTTATAGGCTGGTCAGACTGAATAGTTGCCTTCTAAACAAAAAACTTCCTCTGAAGTGCTATTGAGAAGGTCTGGCATCTGCAAAAAGGGCAGAGTTTAAATACAAGCCAGCCTTGCAGCCAACAATGCCTCTATTAAGAAAACCACTTAAACACTGTTCGCATGCCACTGAACCCTTGTGAGCAGAGCAAGGCTACAGTCTGGGAGAGAAAAAGATGACAAAGAGACAGAGGGCACTTGAGAGCCCAGGCTGCTGCCACCTCTCAGTGACATCGTAACACTGCCTACTACACGCTATGTGTGGGTGTCATCACACCTCGGTTGAGACATCATTATGATAAAAACGATTAGAAATAAGTTACAGATAAATAGCTGTCATGCGGCTTGCCACTTTCCAGACAACAGACCAAAGGATCAGTTCCTCTGGGGTGAACGATACAGTAGGATGGTTTAAACCCATTTCTAGACTTAGGAATTGTGCCATTGAAGAAGGATCACGAGGCTTGGGAGATTGGATTTCATAAAGAATTGACAGCAGAATAAGAGAAACTTCATATTTTAAGTTGACACTCATTTTTGCTTATTGTCCCTTTTCCAGTGAATACACAAATATGTAGTTGCTTGATTTTATAAAAGTAATTTGCCCTGCCCAGAAATAGAAAAGCCAAACAAAACACAACCTTCTTAGGCATAGCTTCTTACACAACTGTTCTAGGAGAGAGCATAGACATATTTGTTAATCGATGTTTCATTAAATCAATGAAACATCTATTTGTTTCATTAAAGTTATCTTAAGCTACTCTTACATGAAGTAGCCAGAAGCTTAAATGAACATATTTCTTGTAAAACACAGTGTGAATATCATTTTGCAACAAAAAGCATCAGGGTATACATTTTGGGGTCTAATGTCAGATACAAGCATGGGCTTTTAAGAGTTGGAAAAGTTGGGTATGAATTCTAGCTTGACGACCAACTGGTTGCTTGCTTTTCACCTTTTCGGGAGTTCTCTCGTGTCTATAAAATGAGTATTCACATCTGCTCTAGCAGTTTCAGGGATCCTCGTGAGATGCTAATGAGGTATCACTTAAAAATCCAACTATTGGTAATTCCCTGGTGGTCCAGTGGTGAGGATTCCTGTGCTTTCACTGCTGAGGGCAGTTTACACATTTCAGTGAGACATTCTCAGAGGTGGTGACATCCTCTCTGTTAGGAAAAGACCCTGGATGCGAGGAGGGTGTGGTTCTTTAACCTCATCTGAATGTTTCTTGTTGAAAACATGTGTGTTAGACTGTTGACTTAGAGAGCAGATGTTAGCCTCTCAGGGGGAAAAAATGATTGATTGGCTGAGGCAGCCTTGTATATATAGTATTGACCAGTATTTAAAATCTTGGCTGTCTTTCCGGCTCTCGTAGATCTGCAGTGGAACTACCTACTTAGGAGATTTACTGTTTTTAATTTGAAAATGAAATAAGTGTTTAAACAAATATTTATTTTGGTTTTCTATCACCTGCTCTTTCAAAGAAGGAAATGAGGGAAGAAGTGCTGATTAGGCAGCCTCATATATAACCTAAATCTCAAGAGTTACTTTTCAAAGAAAGGGCGGGCCAGTCAGGACACGGCTTTGTGGGGTTTTTTTTGCAATTTCACGGCCAGCCCACAGGCACGGAAGTCGGTGCCCAGCACTCTTCTCCTCTCCAGGGACGCGTGTCAGCTGTAACTGGTGACAGCGGGGAAGCCACGGCTTAGTGGGGCGAGCAGCACAGTGCAGTCCCGGGGGGAGGCTCCAGTGCCGGCTGCCCGCCACTGCTACCCCCGCCTCCTGCTTTCCCCTTGTATAAAGAGATGGAAGAAATCAATGGGATCTGTTCACAGGTCCACAGGAAAGCTGGCTGGAAGATAAGGGTGCTTGCTGAGAAGAACTGGACAAAGTCCAAAGATTAGAATTACAGGAAGCCACATTGGTCCAAAGCACTGAACTTGTTCTTAGTGTGGTATTTCCGCCTTCCAGCTTCCTTCCTGTCTTTGCGTTTCCCCCCTCATTAATGCCTGGCTGCTAAATCATTTGATGATTTGTCCACTACAGACACTGAAAATGCCACCACAAAAGCAGAAATCGTTTTCATCCTTTGAATTTGATAGTACATTTATTAGAGTAAGAGATTAGGTTTGTCAGACATCTGGATTAAGATGGTTAAAGGATTTTCATAGTTTTTAGGCACTGTACACGCTGTTGTTTGCAATAGCATCAGTACTTGGGTTTGGTGAAAGGTAGATCTCCTTTATTTTAATGCCTTGATCCATTTGTAACATTCAGAGTAACTCCACCATTTTAGAAACACTAATCCAAACTTAGAGAGACAGCACTAAATATCCACACGGTATATTTAAAAATAAATATAGAAATATAACCAGAAGTCTACAAATTATCACAGTAGACAGACTGGTGAAGCCCCAGCTATCATGGCAGTGAAGGGCTCTGGCTAGATTTTGATGAAAATTGCTGAATTCTATGCCAAAAGCAAGAACATAATAAAATAACATGATACACACTTTCTGATGCTCATTTTTATAGCAGCAAAGCATGCTTCACATGCACTGCCTGTGAAGGATCTTACAAGGCCCCTTCCTACTCAGTTAGAAGGTATGCCTGGCAAGAATGAAGTACCACCAAGTGTCAAAGAATCCCAAAAATAGAGGCGACCAGCCAGTTCATGGTGTGGGAAAGCAGTGCAGTTTTCAGTAAGAATGACTACCCACAGTCACCAGAGTTTCACTGTAATTCAACATTGCACATGTTTTCATCATCAGTATACACAAAAATAGCCCCAAGCACAAAGCCAATCCACTTAGGGGATAACAACAGTAATAAGAGTAAAGATGATAATATTGAAAATGACACAACTAGAATTTTGGCACATGCTGTGTTCTTCATCCCTTGTCATGGGTGAATGCACGTCTGAACAGAGGCAGGCATGGGAGGCCGCCCGGAAGTGGCGCGGCATGCCCCTGGGCAGGGACTGTGGTTCCCAACCACTTAGACGCCAGCCGCATGGGTGGGTGTGCTGGGCTGGTTAAGGCCGATGGTGGAGCAGAGCCAACCTGCAAAATCCACTTCCTCAGCATCAGATCTCTTGATGAAAGCGTGAACCTGTGTGTGAAGAAATGGACAGAAAGTGTGCTTAAAAGCCAAAAAAGAAAATTCAAGAGTCCTGGTTCTGGAGGCTGTGCTGCTCTCGGAAGGAGCTCCGGGAGCCTCCCCTTGTCTAAGTGCCTGCCTAGAGCCCTGGCTCCGCTGGTCTTACCCCTTCCCGGAGCCTGCTCTCCATGAGATGGAGACAGCAGCTCTGCCTTGCGGCTGTTGAAGGAACAGGAGAGCTGATGGACCTGAGAGCGCGTGTTACGCCGACCAGGCTCCACACAGCATGTAAGCACCGGCACTTAGAGGACTCCGCTCCTCTGCCATCACACAGGAGACAGCTACTTGGTGAGGATGCCGAATACAAAACAGGCCAGTCAGTGCTGCAGAAAGCCTTGTCCCCCTGTGGGGCGAGCTGGCCCCTTCTTTCCCTGGATCCCCTCTGGCTGCAGGGTTATCCCTGCTTTTCCATGAAACCGATGGGAAGACCAAGGAGATGAGTTTGGTGTCCTGCAGGCCCCAGATCAGCTAGGCCACAGCAGTCATGGCAGAGCAGGGTATGGGCTCAGCAAGCACTGGGTGGGTGATGACAGAAGAACAAATGAAATGCAGCAAATGACAGTGTCAGAATTTGAATAAATCACTCACCATGAGTTGCTTCAAGTCTGCTCTCTCTGCGGGGTTTTTTATTAAGCTTAAAGGAAGAAAGACAGTGTGAGCTATTGCCTGCTGCTGGTTCTAACTCAGATTACTTAATGTGTGCATGCCCTGTTCTCCCCACACCCCGCAGGCTCTGAGGAAGAGTGCCTAAGCCTTACCCACCTTCCTGTTAGCAGAGTGTCATGCCCACAGTAGGTTAATAAACACTTGTTGAATTAAATTAAGGCCAAAAGGCAATAGGGCCATCCCTCTACAGCAGGAGCTGAGCGCAGCAGCTGTTCTGCCCCCTGCTGCGGTAAGACACGTCACCTGAGTGCTGGCACTCTGGAAGAAGGGCAGAAGCTAAAGGGTGCAAGGCAAAGCTGTGCTTCCCAAGATGGATGGGGAGCCTGACAAAACCAAAGTACTTTCAGACAAAGAGGTGACTTACCATTTATTCACAAAATCTTGAAATTCCAGACTGAATACTCCACTGGGCAGTTTTGGAGGAGGCTGCAAGTACACACACAGACCTAAGAAATGACCTGCCCTACCCTCCTCTGCCTGCCCCACTCCCGCCCCTGGGCAGTGCCACCCTTGTCCAGGTAAGGAAAGCCGGGGGTGAGAGGCCACTGGCTGCTGCCGGCTTTCCCTGCTGGAACCATCAGTCTCAAACCAGTCAGAACTGGGGCCAAGTGAATGACTGAATAAATCATTTCCTCTCAGCCTCAGCTGACCCTTTTTAGCTCTGAGGCTCCACCACCATACATCTGGGAGTGTGGCAGGGAAACAGCCAGCAACTACTAGAAGCAGCAGCTAGGAGGATGTGCAAACCACTAGGCATAGTCCAGCCCTGACAGCACCTGCGGATATCACAGAAGGCTGACCAATAAAATGTTCACCCCCTTCTGAGCTCTGAAGGAGTGCAGAAAGGTTAGTAAAACATTAACTGGCAGACAGCTGGGTCTGGAAGAAAGTTGGATCCCAGCAGAAGAGGATGACTTTCCTAATATACATACAACACAGTCTACCTTCCTTGCAGCCTTATGCAGCTTAGGTCAGACCCTCCACTTCCCACAGTGCTTAGCACAAAGCTGAGCAGTCAGGCAGTAAAGAGCTGAAATGAGCCCAGTAACCTGTGAACCAGTGGCAGTGATTTTTTAACTGCTGTGGTGAGCCAGGATTTTCCCTGTTGAATTTGTAATGACCAAGGGGAACTTGTGACCCTTTGGGGGTCTAGTTTTAGAAATGAGAAAGCCTGAAAAGTTACTCCACTGGTCTTGAAGAAGAGAATGGGGCAATGCCCGTTACCATGCTCCTCAGCAGAGTAGGGGCCTCCAGCTGCCTCCCAAACAGGCCACAGCTCGTCCCTTCTCTTCCTCTGCCCATGCTGCTGCTGCTGCCAGCAGTGCCGGCCTTAACCATCTGAAGTTCCGTCCTGCCCTCCAGCTCCTCCAGCCCTGCCCCACCCTCTGAGCAACCACGGTGCTGGTCCGTAGCTTCCAATTCCCCCAGGCCCATACTGATGAATACTTGTCAGTCTCTTCCTTCCTCAGTTCCTTTTACATTTAAACATACTAGCATATATATTTCACAGATAATGTATCTTTGTGTTAAAGTTAGCTAGCAGTAATTTAATCACCTGTAATTCCATCAATGTGATAAACACTATGTCATATAACTTTCCAGACTTTATGTGCACATAATATGCATACATAGGTTTTTTTTTTAAAGAATCATAGTATACATACTATTTTACACCCTGCTTTTTTCACACAATTTATAGTGAATATTTTCCATATCTGTTTCTACACTGTCACCTGTTACGTTCATTGCTTTATATAGAGAAAACACATATGTTTGCCTTGCTTCCTTTACCCAATCTAACAGGCTTTAAGACCTGAGACTTTTGTTTTTCCATCTCTGGACCCCCACCTCATTCCTACGGCCATCCCATAGTGCTTATTAGCACATAGTAAGTGCACAAAAACACTTGGTGGAAAAAAAGCAATGCCTGGTGAATGAAGGATGAGAATGCATTCAATGGGCAGGTGGAGGCTCCTGAATCAGAGGATGAGGGACTCAGAGCTATATGAAGATGCTCCTGGGAAAGGGACAAACCATGCTGTGGGAACAATTCAGAGGTTTCCCAGACCAATTGTGAGTTTTTTCCTTAAGAGCAAATAAATTCCAAGATCACAGAAGCCTTACCTCATTGACTATGTAATCCAACAACTCAAAAATTGCCATTGGAGGTCGGCTGTCCATTCCATAAGCTACAAATTTTATAAAAAGAAAAAAGAAAACACTTCTCAGAAACAGAAGGTTAACTGCCAGTTTGAGGCTAGGGGTGGGCATGGATCTTAAGAGACTAGAACAAAGTTGTGGACGATAGAGATAGAAGAGCCACAGATAAGGCCTGAACACAGAGGGGGCTGGCCAAAGCCACAGCTGGCCAGGGTCTGAGTCTGGGTTCTGGTGGCCCACCGCCGGCTACCCTTGTCCGCTCTGCTGCTCCCTCATACATGCCCTCGTGTGGGCCTCAGGCAGGAATGTCCTGGCAGGAACAATGTCAGAAGGTAATGGCAGGGCCAGGATCTTCCAGGTACTGGGTCTACCTTACAGTCCAGAGGCGGGCAGTGCTACATAGTGCTTACCTCCTCAGAGTCAGACCTGGCCACTGACAAGTGTATGTGGCAAGTCAAGCACCCCGTGCCTCAGTTTCCTCATAGCTAAAATGGAAATTATAATAGTGCTCACACACGACTGCTATTAAAATTAGACAGTGCTAGGCAGATCTATGGAGACAAAAGTAGATTGGTGATTGCTAGGGTGTCAAGGTAGGGGAGCTGTGAGTGACTGCTAATGGAAATGGTTTCTCTTGGAGGTGATGGAAATGTTCTTGAATTACAACGTGGTGATGGTTGTATGATATGGAGAAATATACTAAAAACCACTGAACCATACACTTCAAAATGTGCATTTAATGTTATGTGAATTTTACCTCAATTAAAAAAAAATCTACCTAAAAAAAGTCATGATTTTTTAAATTAGATAATACATAAAAAATACTAAGTGCAGTGCCAGGAACACAGTGGGCACTCAACAAATGGTAGGAAGGAAGATGTTGGTAACGATAATATCCTGCACTGGAACCCCATGCTCTACTTCCTCCTTGCCCCAGCCTGGCATCCAGAGACAGGGGACCAGCCTTCCAGAAACCCCTGATGGAAAGGACCACCCACAGTCCAAGCTGGGGCCACACTGGGCCACTCACAGCTGAGGGGCCTCCCGGGGGTCCTTGGCCTGGGCGGGGTCTCAGCCGCATCTCCCTCCACCTGGCACCCAAACATCAGCTCCAGCTCCTTGGCATCTGGAGGAGGGATGGGATACCTCCCGACCGCCATCTCAACCAGAGAGAGCCCCATGCTCCAGATGTCCGACTGCACGGAGTAATGGGTCCCCTGGAGTCGCTCTGGCTGCAGGAGAGACAGACACGGTTACCACCTGTGAGCTAGCCTGGCCTGTACAGAGAGGGATGGGTGAGTCCTCATGATGCCTGGGACTTCCTGCCCCGCTGAGGCCTGTCTGCACTGCAGGAGTGCTGGGCG